CGGCCATAACTGTAAATAAGCCTGCCAGGAACGGAGATCTGTCCTTGGACACGAGCCGTAGAAGTGGAATTAATTGGGCCGGTCACTTTGTCTTTAATGAAATCCTTCACTGGTATTTAAAGGGCGTCTATGGTCGCAAAACTAAAATCTGTATTTCTATATTGAATTTGCAGAAGTTTTATCCCACTCCTAATAACCATATTCATCTAGTCAGTCTCCCCCCAAAGCTACTTCACTTTACTGCCCAGCCAGTCGCAGCTCTCCAATGCCATCATATGCAATCCCGCATTGTACGGGAGGATGGCAAGGGCCCTCCAACAGTCCAGAGTGTTGGGCAGCAGAGCGCCCACAAGGAATAAGTTGAGAATTTGTACTTTTTCCAGCACCCCACCACCTTCCCAGCCATACAAGCATTTAACCCATGTTGGGGGGGACCCCACTGCATGGACACATTTTTAAAAAAAACATTCGGCGTTGGCCTTTAAATCTGCAAAGAAAAATCCGGTCTGGCTGTGCTGTGTGGTAGGACAGTAAGTCGCGCTCTTTCCTAAACGCTGTACAAATAGCGTTCCTCCAGCCTCTCGTGATTTATCCCTTACACCAGAAGCGGGCAAACGCTGGGCCTCCAGCTTTTATGGAACTACAAATCCCATGAGGCATTGCAAGATTATCACAGGCATGACTCCCAGAGACAGATGCACAGCTGGAGGGCTGGAGTTTGTCCACCCCTGCCTTGTTCCTTTTTTCACCATTTTGTTTTTGTTTTTTGCCTCTGGACTATATCATGTGTCCAGAACATGAGGCGTGTTCAGTTCCTTAGCCAAGTGCTAAGTAGCTGTTCTGCAGCACTTCAGTTCACTGCAGCAGCTTCACCGAAAGCTTCAGCTACACGGCGCCAAGCAAAATGACTGAGTATAATATTTTTGACTAATACCATGTTGCTACGAATATCCACCAAAACATTGAATTGTAGGTTCCTACACTGAATTGATTTCCTCCATTTGGGGTTCAGACACCTTTCCCCAGCACTGCCAGGTGTGCCCACAGTTAAAATGACCGATGGTGCTCCGTCCCCACCTTCTCCATCACACTCGGCGCCCTGCATCCACATCACACTCGGCGCCCTGCATCCACATTCACTGCTGAGCCCTGACTTGCAGCACAGCGTTCAGCGGTGGTTTGCTAATTCAGCACTCAGTGGCTGAGCAACTGAACGTGCCTCTTTCAGAATGTGCTCTATAGAGTGGAACAAGGCCTCATTCAGATGTCAGTTTAGCTTCTCTGCTGCAAGAAACGTTGGCACCAGGCGCACTTTGTGTGGGAACAATAGCATGGCGCTACCACTGTTCTATGGAGCGGTGACATGTGACTAGGGCCTCTGACTGGCCCTGGACGCGCACGGTCTACATCCAGGGCCTTCATTTGTGCCCGCAAACATGCTGCAGCAAATCTCGGTCATAGTTCAGCCATGTTTGGACTGAAATTGAGAAAGCCGCTTTCAGATCCCATCGCTTTACTGCTGCACAGCTTTGTATATCTCCATCGTTGTGATTTGAAATAAATAGGCCGGTTGCTGTGTGTGTCTGAGAGCAAAGGCAGACATGGCAATAAATGTCACACACACACACACACACACACACACACACACACGTGGGGGAACTCATGGCTTCTTGAGGCCTGCTTTCTGCCCTCTGCTCAGGTGCTTCCTTTGCAGAAAAGGGCC